GCAAAGCCCCGGCACTAACGCTGTTACGGCAGAAGGTGACGATCCACCTGCGCGGTTGGATGAATCACGAGCTAGTACATGTCAAGCGAGATTGGAATGCCAGTGCGGACAGTTTGGCCAGTGCCGCTTTACGAAATCAATGTGGTGTTGAGGTGGAGAGAGAGGCCGAGCGTCAGGATCTTGTCACGTTAAACCGACTAGACGAAGTGGTGGTGGTTGGATCCGTGAAAAGGGCAGTCCAGGTAATGACTGTCACTAGATCCAGAGGGAGGATTGGGTCCAGCCCCCAGATTCTTGATGAAACATTTGTGAAGGGGGTCCGCATTGAGCGGACCCTCAAATCACAGAACGAAGAAGCGTGGATCTTGGGACTAAAGAAGTATCTGGTGGGGGACGTACGACGCCTGAGTCGGGAAGACGCCAAATCCTACGGTATTATCGCTGCGGATTATGAAGTGGATCTGAACGACTTACACTTCGATTGCCCCCCTTCGAAGCGGGTCAGTGGGGATCGAGACGGGTTGATGAGATTGATGATGCCAGAAACCCTGCAACGGGATGTCCTGCATCATTATCACGCTAGCTTGGAAGGAGGACGTCAGGGAGTCAGTCGAACTTACCAGCGGATCCGAGAGTGTTTTCGTTGAAGGGGACCATTTAAGAGTGTGCAACAAAATGTCGGCGAATACATTGTGAGACAGGCAAAGGCAGGCCCACCATCGAAGGGGAGTCTCCAGGTAACGTCCAAGGCGACTTACCCTTTCTAAATCCTATCCCAACGCTTCCTAAGTCATTCAAAGGGGAACACCGAGTTGTTGGTCTGGGTGGATCGGCTTACGGATACGTGACAACTAAAGGCTAGCGCGTCCAGAACTGCACAGACCATCGCCAAATCTTACGAGGAGTGTGTCTTTCGCAGATTCCAGTGAGATGATTCGTCATGGATCGGGAGCCCAGGGTTCATTGTCCGATTTCTTTTCGAGCCTTTCAACAGAATTCCTTGGGGAAAGGCAAGCGGGCGACTTATGTCATATCGTCGCCCAAGCTAATGGATCTG